ACATTAAATACCGAAGGCGAAATATTAGGTTTTTTGAAAACAATAATTCCGTTTTCCGCTCTTTCCCATTGTGAAGATAATGCTCTTTGGAAATAATCTGATCTACTAACTAAGATAAACTTATGTGCCTTAAATTCTTTGACGTTTGGTTCTTCACCGACTAAAATTTTTATGTTATAATCTTCAGGATTTTCCAGTAAGTTTGCAAAATCTATAGATACTGAATTGTCCATATTTTACGTGAAAGAGGTATCTTGCGAAGAAAATTTAGCATAAAAGGTGAATTTGTAGGTAATATCTTTGGAGGTGACAAAAATACTAGATGTATTCTCCGTTCCTTGTTTTTAAATAATCGTATATAATATAAATTTCAGGATCACAAAAATCTGTCCTCTTCCGAAAATAATTACTCATTTGCACGCTTATGAAATTTTATGACGTCAACAATGTACAACAAGCTAAAGTACAAATATAAATTTGTATACAATTGGCTTGCCGAATGAAAATTGTCACAATCTTAAAATTTTTTTGCTTACGGCTTGTAGCTTTATGCTGATTTAAAAATGTATTTGATTCTAGAAACTGAAAACCATGCACGTCTGGAGTATACATACACTGTAAGTAATTCTTCTAAAAACAAAAAAAAATTGACACATGACAAATTCTTTACTGTTTGTCCTACTACATAATACATGAATCAAACACATGACGTTAAGAGTTGTTTGTTTGGATGCATGTGATTATTTGATAGAATTCAGACTTATAATGGTTCTTATTTGCTAATATTGTTTGAAGTATACTGTAGTGTGGAACTTTGAAACAATGACCTTGGATTTCATTATACTGTATTTAAAGTTTTAAATTAATAATACTTATTTATTTATTATATTATTTAATATTCATTTAAAATTATATTTTGTTATACTTGATTTTTGCCCAAGATCTACATTACAACTTATTCTATTTTCACTAATATTTATTCTTGTTCATATTTTTTTTTCTAAAAATACCCTTGTATGGTTAATCTACTGTTACGTTTTATTTAAAATTCCACATCCTTACTTTTTTAAATCTGAAATGTTTTTAATTTTTTACTTACTATAATTATTATTTTATTAGAGTATTTATTTTATTTATAATAATATATTTTTATTTATTATAAATGAAAATTATAATCTAATATGTTATTATCAGATAAAATGAGATACTTTGGTGTGAATAATATGATCGATCAGAATGTATTAAATTTTTTACAGTATCATAAAATAAATTAATTTGAGTAAAATTTGTATAATATAAAGTTAGAATAATAATATTGTAATTGTAATTGACAAATTCTGTCATTATATTGCAATTATCAATTATAACATATCAAAAGAGTCATGGAATTTTGATACAAAATAAGTAAATATATAATAAGTTTATAATAAACTAGAACTTTATTATTATTTTATTCTTTTAATTATATGTTTTTTATATGCATATTTTTTATATTTCTAAAATTATATTTATTCAATATTTTATTTTCATGCCTCAACTATTTTTAATATTCAAATATTTCATTGTCCTTTTATAATTATAACATAATTAAATTGTAGTATTATCTGAATTACTGTTTTACTTCTTATCATTATACAATATACCATGGTATTCAAAATTTTTTGAAATTTTTTAAAATATTTAAAGTAATAAAAACTTATTTAAATTAAATTTAAATTTAAATATAAATACATGTACTTAAACACTATAAAATTATTTTTGCTTATAACTAGTTTATATATTTTATTATTAATTTTTTTTAACAATTTTTCTAAGTATTAATTTTATAATTTGTTTTTATAAAATTCAACTTTTTTTATATTTGTTTTTATAAGTTTTTTTATAATAAATAAAATAAAATAATATATTTTTTGCTATATAACATTTAAAAAATACATATATACTATTTAAATAATATTACTTATTAATATAAAACTATTTTAATAACTGTAGTAATAAACTACAAACAACAAGCTTAAGTTTTCTTATGAATAAAAAATAAGAGAGAGCAATTTTATTCATTTTCAAGATTATATTTAAAGGTTAACTATCTAAGACAAGTATTGGTAATTAGTTTATATATAAATGTTTATACAAGTACAATTATATTTTTTTAAAGATTAAATAAATACAATAAATATTTGTTTGATTATAAAAAAAAATATAAAAATATATTAATTAAAATTATTTATTAAAATTAAAAGATTAATATTAAAATTTTTAGATTTTTTAGATTAATAATATATTCAATATATACTTTATCTCAAATTGTATCACCTGGTTTAAGGTATTAACTGAATCTTTAACTCTATCTTATAATCTTATTTTAAAATCACAATATAGTATTGCAAACACAGTACTATTTATAGGTATAAAATTGAATAAAATCAAAGACCAAAAACAATACAAAATAAAAACTAGTTTCAATCTTAATAATATAAACAAATTAAAATTTTTATAAAAGAATAATCTTGTAATAGATATTTTAACTTTTGTCACTAAAAATTAATTCAAAACAAATTTAATTATTCTTTATATATTTCTAATTTTATTTTATTTTATTTTATTTTATTTTATTTTTTTTTTCAGCTAAAGTAAGACTTTACTCTAGTTTATTAATATAGATAGTTTTTTATATATGAATTACATACATAAAGTTTAAGCTAT